AGGGGGTGAGTGAGTACAGCCACAGGGGCAGGGAGTGACTGCAACATGCTGGGGGCAGGGCGTCCAGAGGTCGGCGCACGACGCTGGCGAAGATAATAGGAATTTGTATCACGCTGCAATAATGCGTTACCTGGGTGGAGGGAGGAGGACGATGAGCAGCGGGAGGCGGCGGTGAGGCACAGGCGGAGGGAAGGAAGGAAGGAAGGAAGGAAGGAAGGAAGGAAGGAAGGAAGGAAGGAAGGAAGGAAGGAAGGAAGGAAGGAAGGAAGGAAGGGAAGAAATGATAGAAGCAGGATTAGTGAGGAAATGGCAGGAAGGAAGAGCGGGAAAGGATAGGTAACGCGATGTGATGAAGAAGTGGGAAGGGAGGGGATAGGGAGGGGATAGGGAGGAGGAGCGAGGCCTTAGAGTAGACATAGAAGGTTGAGTGTTGGTGGAAAGGAGAGGAGGATGCTCGGAGGCTTACCTAGTGGTACTTACCTGACAGTGACTGCCGGAAGGTGAAGTCTAATTCGTTATACCCCGCATACAAGCCCATTAACAAGCAAGAGGGATAGAAAGATGTACTAGGTGATGGAGTAGAGAAAGAAGGAAGAGGAGAAGGAGGAGTAGGTGGAGGAGAAGGAGGCAGTGAGATATCTGACGAGTCTCTGAACACTTGCGCATAATATAACATATACGGAGGTTACAGCACATGTAGGCCAAATACACCATTGGATGACGATAAGGTAAACGATATAGGGTATAATAAGTATGATTCTCGTAGTGTCCCGAGGAACCAATCACAAAGGATTTTTTAAAATATCTAAAAATGCCCAGTCTTTTTTTACGTTATTAGTTTCCCCACAAAAGAGTTGACCATTCGAGAAAGAAAGTGAAGTTGAACTCGTCTTCAGAGAGTTGTAGAGCCGGAGTCGTGCAGTTCGCTCTATTGTCAGTTTTCGTCCGGGACTGGTATAACGATTAGTCCATAGTGCAATGTCGACAATTTCCAGCCCATGCTCTAAACACTGACAAATGCTCGTTAATACACAACTCGTCCTCAGACCAAGTTTTTTTCCACCCAGTGGTCGACCCCCAAAACGCATTCATCAATATTAACATGCTGTTCATTCAAAATATAAGTTTTCTCAAATATAAATTATTATTATTATACATTAGAATAATGTGTATATTTAGGCACTAGTTAGGTTAGCTGTTTAGGTTCTGTTGGCGATTTATTTGTATTTGTAGTACGTGGGTGAAGCATTTACAGCGTTGTGGTTCAAACAAAAGTCGTCAGTGAAGCACTTGTTCGAGAAGTGTTCGAACTTCATCAGTTGTGAGTCGTTTGTAAACCGTTTTTCATTCATAAACAGGGGGTTTGGCGGGTGCATGGAATGGACTTTGGGGCTTTGTTTATGAGGAAGGGCTGTAATGCAACAGCTGCGTCCCTATTCGTAAATGAAAACCCTTCAATACATGATTCAGAACAGTCTGGTCGAACTATACGCAGTGCTTCGCTCACTTCATATGATCGAAGCACACCTCTCATTTCCCAAATACTAGTTAATCAAGTCGCCAGACCTCTGTTTGTGAATTAAAAATAATTGATACATCAACCCGTCCATTAGTCATACATAGCCAAACACTTTTACAAAAATAAAGTGTAAATTTCCAGCAGAACTAAAGGTGAAATAATCGTGTTGACCAATCCACACACTAGAAAATGAAGGGACGACGACTTTTCATCGACTTGAGAAGTGTCCAGGAAGGACCGAAACGTCGTCGTCCCTTCATTGTCTAATGTGTGGTCTGGTCAACATACTTCAGCCACGTTGTTGTGACTCATCGCCTGTACGTGAAATAATCGTGTTTTTGAAGTGGTAGAGAAGAATGGAGAGTTGAGTGCTTGTTACGTGGACCTGGCACTTACATCCCTGAACATTCAAGGTGCAAATGATTTACAAGCAAGTACTGCTGTGAAGACACGCGGACTACAGAGGTCACAAGACCAGAAGGGACCTACCTTACCTTGAGGTTACCTTGAGGTGCTTCCGGGGCTTAGCGTCCCCGCGGCCTGGTCGACGATCAGGCCTCCTGGTTGCTGGACTGATCAACCAGGCTGTTAGGCGCGGCTGCTCGCAGCTTGACGTACGAATCACAGCCTGGTTGATCAAGGACACCAACAACTGCTAGAAGAAGAGGACTCCCTACATATTGAGAGGTAAAGTAACATTTATAATTATTCTTCATTTGAGGACATATTACGTTATCTTATAAATATTCAGTATAGATGACACTGGATATTACATATCAGTACAGCGCGAGTTGGTTGGTGGATGTTGGTGTAACAACAGCCTCGCTGATCAAGTAATTACCAGAAATGGCTGCCGCAGGCCAAGCTACGGGAGCACAACTCTCGAAATGTTTCACTTTTATATATATATATATATATATATATATATATATATATATATATATATATATATATATATATATATATATATATACATAGCCAAGAGTTGTTACACTCTTGTACAGCCACTAGTACGCGTAGCGTTTCGGGCAGGTCCCTGGAATACGATCCCCGCCGCGAAGAATCGTTGTTACAACCAAGTACACATTTTACTGTTGAGTTAAACAGAGGCTACAGTTAAGGATTTGCGCCCAGTAAATCCTCCCCGGCCAGGATACGAACCCATGACATAGCGCTCGCGGAACGCCAAGCGAGTGTCTTACCACTGCACCACGGAACCATGTAAACCCTCCGGCCTGCGTTATATACTTTTGTAATATTTATATATGATAATCCATGAGGAGTACCCCGCGTGTCTGTCCTAGGAACTTTATTTTCCACAACATAGACAAATGTTATGAATTTTGAATAAACAAACATTTGTATCTTTTTTCCAAATTCCTTAGGTCTATTGAGTCTTGTATATATTGTGTACTCACCTAGCACACCCCATGTGTGTGTGCGCGTGTGTACTTACTTACTTGTACTTACCTAGTTGTGCTTGCGGGGGTTGAGCTCTGGCTACTTGGTCCCGCCTCTCAACTGTCAATCAACTAATGTACAGATTCCTGAGCCTACTGAGCTCTATCATATCTACACTTGAAGCTGTGTATGGAGTCAGCCTCCACCACATCACTGCCTAATGCATTCCATTTGTCTACTACTCTGACACTGAAAAGAAAAATTCTGCCGTCTCTATGACTCATTTGGGCACTCAGTTTCCATGTTATCCATGATGTTATCCTCTTGATATGAGCTTCAGGGGACAGGTCTGGCGTGATATCAATCCCCAGGTCTTTGTCTCTCTATGACTCTTGAAGTATTTCATCTCCTAAATGATACCTAGTATCTGATCTTCTGCTCCCTACACCTATCTTCATTACATTACATTTGCTTGGGTTAAACTCTAACAACCATTTGTTCGACCCTTCCTGCAGATTGTCCAGGTCTTCTTGAAGCCTCAAGCTGTCCTCTGTCTTAATGCTTCTCATAATTTAGGCGTCGTCAGCAAACATTGAGAGGAATGAGTCAATACCCTCTGGGAGATCATTTACGTACATCGGAAACAGGATAGGACCGAGTACAGAGCCCTGTGGGACTCCACTGGTGACTTCACGCCAATCTGAGGTCTCGCCCCTCACTGTAACTCTCTGCTTCCTATTGTTTAGGTACTTCCTTATCCACTGGAGCGCCCTACCAGTTACTCCTGCCTGTCTCTCCAGCTTATGCATCAGTCTTTTATGGGATACTGTGTCAAAGGCTTTCCGACAGTCCAAAAAACTGCAGTCCGCCCACATTGTGTGTGTGTGTGTGTGTGTGTGTGTGTGTGTGTGTGTGTGTGTGTGTGTGTGTGTGTGTGTGTGTGTGCTGGAAGGTAGGGTGGGATGAGAAAGATCCTGACAAGGAATTTCCACCTCACTCGGCGTGTCTCTCCCTCTACCGGAACCACCATCCGCCGGCGAAGGGGGAAGGAGAGAGGAAGCCAGTCAAATGGAGGGAAACCAGAGAGGGAGGGACGGAGTGAGGGAAAGTTAAACGCAACGTGCTAGAGGAAATAGTTCCATGGGACAGTGACTCCTGATGGTAAATATGATGATAGTACATGCCACGAAATCACCAACGCACCTACGTCAGCTGTTCTTCCCTCTCCTGAAATATGAGGGGAGAATCAGATAGAGAGAGAGAGAGAGAGAGAGAGAGCAACAATGAGGGAGACAATGGCTTAGACAATGTAAGAGTTGTTGGGTAGGCAGGAAAGTAGGTAAGCTGTATATGGGCAGACACGTAGGTATAGTAGGTAAGTTTGTAGATTTGCAAGGACAATAAGTGGGCAAGGATAGTACGTGGGTAAATACAGTAGGTGAGCAAGGGCAGAAGGTGGATAAGGACAGTTAATGAGCAAGGACAGTAGGTGAACAAGGACACTAGATGGGCAAGAGCAGTAGGTGAACAAGGACACTAGATGGGCAAGAGCAGTAGGTGAACAAGGACACTAGATGGGCAAGAGCAGTAGGTGAACAAGGACACTAGATGGGCAAGAGCAGTAGGTGAGCAAGGACACTAGATGGGCAAGAGCAGTAGGTGAACAAGGACACTAGATGGGCAAGGGCAGTAGGTGAACAAGGACACTAGATGGGCAAGGGCAGTAGGTGGGCACAGAAGAAACAGCTGTGTGAATCCTTCTAGACAGGCAGCCAACACTACTCATGCAGGAGTCTAGAGAATCACGAGTCAAATGAGAATTCATGAATTTCTCCCCTCCCCCCCCCCCTGCCTCAGTTTGACGTCTCCCGTCTACCTCTGCAGCCTCTCTTCTACCTCTATAGTCTCTCTTGACCCCTTACACCTCTTCTCCTTCGTCAGTACTTTCTCTCTCCCTAAGTACTCTCTCTTCACCCTCTCCTCCTCCTCCTGCCGCTTCCTGAATGTCTTCAGTAATGTCATCGAGTCTATTCTTCATTCATTCTCTTCTGTGTCTTCTTGTACCTGATTATCAATGTCTTTATTTCCGCCTACATCTGCTGTCTTCCTTCACACCGTGTGACCCTTCGCTGCCCTTCACACACTGTGGCCCTTCGCGGCCCTTCACACACTGTGGCCCTTCGCTGCCCTTCATACCGTGTGGCCCTTCGCTGCCCTTCACACCGTGTGGCCCTTCCCAGCCCTTCACACCGTGTGGCCCTTCGCTGTCCTTCACACTGTGTGGCCCTTCGCTGTCCTTCACACTGTGTGGCCCTTCGCTGTCCTTCACACTGTGTGGCCCATCGCTGCCCTTCACACCGTGTGGCCCTTCGCTGTCCTTCACACTGTGTGGCCCTTCGCTGTCCTTCACACTGTGTGGCCCATCGCTGCCCTTCACACCGTGTGGCCCTTCGCTGTCCTTCACACTGTGTGGCCCTTCGCTGTCCTTCACACTGTGTGGCCCATCGCTGCCCTTCACACCGTGTGGCCCATCGCTGCCGTTCACACCGTGTGGCCCTTCGCTTCCCTTCACACCGTGTGGCCCTTCGCTGCCCTTCACACCGTGTGGCCCTTCGCTGCCCTTCCCTACACCCCGTTCTCCCTGTTGGAACCATCATTGTATTCATTCTTATTTTTATTTCCCCCATTTCCCTTCCCATTCTTTCATTCAGTGCTTTCGTGTTCCTCTTCGTCCCTCCCGTACCTCCTCTCTACCCTTTCACCCCCTCTCCCCCTTCCCTCCCTCGCCCCCCCCCCCTCCTCACTCTCATTCTCGTCCAGTCCTCGTAAACACAACCCCCCCCCCCCCGCCCCATACCAAACAGGAAGCACACACATAAATCAACATTCTCCCCCCACCCTATCTACCCAATTCTACTCCTACCTTATCTACCCTCTACCTTGACTACTCATTCCCTTCTCTACCCCCCTCTCCGCTGTTGTCCTCCTCCCCCCCTTCTCTAACCCTCTCCTTTGTAATTCCTTCCCTACACCCCTCTCTGTTCTAGCCTTCCCTACACCCCTCTCTGTTCTAACCTTCCCTACACCCCTCTCTGTTCTACCCTTCCCTACACCCCTCTCTGTTCTAACCTCTCCACTCCTAATCTCTCTGCCAGCCGCCATCTTTACCCCTCCCCCCCCCCCCCCCCCCATGCAGCTGCAGTGACCGAAGCCCGTGTACATGTGCTTGCAACATGCAACAATGCTTCATTTAAAACACACTGTATTTCCCTCTTTCTCCTCCCCATTTTATCTCGCTTTCATTTACGACATCTCCACCCCTCCCATAGTACCTCACTCATTACGTCATCCCTCCCTCCCTCTCTCAGAAATAAGATTTTTATCTTTGGGGGAGGATGGGGCGTGAATGGGTGTGAGAATTTCAGTTTATTATCTAGGGTAAAGAGCGGACAGTCAAAGGTGGTAGGGATAAAATGAAGCACTACAGAGCTTCATGGGTAAACAGTTTAATATAGTGTATCTTGGAACACAAGAGTGGGTAGAAATGGAACACAATTTACAGAGTATTCGGTGCGATTGTTTTTTTCTACCACAGACGTGGCCAGACAATGGGTGGCCCGCCACCCACGGGCCACAGGAAAGAAGTCAACTGATGGATCGTACTCCTCTCTTTATATAACAATATCGAAAGATATAACATATCTGTCACAGAAGAGAAAGATATGTTACGGTCGAGTATTCTTACGGTCTAATGATTCACCGCTACAGTAGCCTAGATATGGAGGAACATCTAAGAAAGGAGCACAAGGGTGAGGGAGGAACATAGGGTGTTGTAGGGAAAAGTGAAGGATGGCTGAAGTAGGATAATAAGGAAAAGAGAATGAGGTAAAGATAAAACGTTTCAAACGTTAAGAGGGAAAATTTATGGATTAGGGAGAAGAGACGAGGAATAGAGGGAGAAGGGAGTAGAAATAATTGAGGAATAGAAAGTGAAAATGAGAATGAGAATGAGGAGGGAGGAGGATAAGGGAATAAGGGGAGAAATCCTGAAAAGCAGGGAGGAAGGCACGGTCATTTGAGGGATTTTTGCCGTGTGTAGTGGTGTGTGGGGTTGGCTGCACGCGTTTTATGATCGGGAAAGCTCGCCGGGGGCTCCATTCTCAGCCTCAGCGAGTAGCAGACAGGGAGAATGGGGAGGAGGAAGGGGGGATGGAGAATGGGGAGAAAGGGGAATGGAGAATAGGGAGGAAGAAGGGGGAATGGAGAATGGGGAGGCAGAAGAGGGGAATGGAGAAGGAGACCTGAAGAGAGAGAGAGATAGGCAAGATAAACTCACGTGACAAAAACAAAGCAAAATTCCCTCAGTGTTATTACACTCCGAGCCATTAGAGAAGGGAGGCGCGTATATATAAGGAAGAATACTTCTATAATACGCTACACTACAATGTACTACACTGTCCTACGCAACATTATCCTGCACTACACCAGCATGACAACCATGCACTGCCAAACGCAAGATTAAGCTGTAGAAAATCCAGACACTCCACAATACCGGCCCATAGGACAATTAACACATTAAACTATCCCAGTAACGTAGAACAAATGCTGTTCGTAAACATACGCTTCTTGTGACATCTTCGCGTAAAGTATTCAACCCCAATATTGTCAATTTAACATTGGAGCCAATTGAGAGAGGACAGAGAGATGTGGTCCAGGGCGATATCTAGATTCCTCCCTCTTGGATGAATTGTTCTTGGTGTGGCTTATACCGTCGTCAGAGAAAGTATTGAACAATCCACTCTCAACTGCCTTCTGGGTCATCGGGTCGGACAGCTCTCCACGTCTGACCCCTTACAAGTGCTTTATATAGTCGTAATGGTTTGTTGGAGCCTTCCTCTTGATAATTCCCCTCCCTCGATGTCCCAGGAAGCTCTGTGTCACAGTGAGAGAGACAGAGACAACGAATCAAACACACGGGAGCTCATCTACCATCTAATCATGAGGAAACATCTGTCGTAACCTCCGTCGTGTCGTTGACAGAGGCCAGGAGGGACGGCGTGAAGTATAGTGAGAACGGGAGGAAAAAAGAGCGTGTGAATGAACAGAAGGAGGTACGGACGGATGAACGGACGGACGTACGGACGGATGAACGGACGGACGTACGGGCTGATGAACGAACGGACGTACGGACGGATGAACACGAACCTGTCTACACAGCTCACAGTGATTCTCTCCTGTATTTTCCCCTTTCCTTGATATATTCTTGTGTATCTCTTTATTCTTTCTCTCAAACAGTTCGAGGTTCTCCCCTTGCGTCTCATCACCTCATAACACACACACACACACACACAAGCTGCAGGAATGGTCGAACAAATAGCTGTTAGAGTTTAATCCAAGCAAATGTAATGTAATGAAGATAGGGGTAGGAAGCAGGAGACCAGATACACGGTATCACTTGGGAGATGAAATACTTCAAGAGTCCGAGAGAGAGAAAGACCTGGGAGTTGATATCACGCCAGACCTGTCCCCTGATGCTCATATCAAGAGGATAACAGCAGCAGCATATGCCAGGTTGGCTAACATAAGAACGGCCTTTAGAAACTTGTGTAAGGAATCTTTCAGAACATTATATACCACATATGTCAGACCAATCCTGGAGTATGCGGCACCAGCATGGAGTCCATATCAAGTCAAGGATAAGACTAAACTGGAAAAGGTTCAAAGGTTTGCCACCAGACTAGTACCCGAGCTGAGAGGTATGAGCTACGAGGAGAGACTACGGGAATTAAACCTCACTTAGTTGGAAGACAGAAGAGTTAGGGGGGACATGATCACCACATTCAAGATCCTCAAGGGAATTGACAGGGTTGATAAAGACAGGCTGTTTAACACAAGGGGCACACGCACTAGGGGACACAGGTAGAAACTGAGTGCCCAAATGAGCCACAGAGATATTAGAAAGAACTTTTTTAGTGTCAGAGTGGTTGACAAATGGAATGCATTAGGCAGTGATGTGGTGGAGGCTGACTCCATACACAGTTTCAAGTGTAGATATGATAGAGCCCAATAGGCTCAGGAACCTGTACACCTGTTGATTGACAGTTGAGAGGCAGGACCAAAGAGCCAGAGCTCAACCCCCGCAAGCACAACTAGGTGAGTACAACTAGGTGAGTACACACACACACACACACAAGGGGACACAGGTGGAAACTGAGTGCCCAAATGAGCCACAGAGATATTAGAAAGAACTTTTTTAGTGTCAGAGTGGTTGACAAATGGAATGCATTAGGGGGTGATGTGGTGGAGGCTGACTCCATACACAGTTTCAAGTGTAGATATGACAGAGCCCGATAGGCTCAGGAATCTGTACACCTGTTGATTGACGGTTGAGAGGCGGGACCAAAGAGCCAGAGCTCAACCCCCGCAAACACAACTAGGTGAGTACACACACACACACACTTCACTCCTACAAATAGTGGCCATATATCCTCTCCTCTCCCTCCCAAGCAAACAAATACCGCTCTACTGATGCCTCCCCTTAGCGCTTTATTGACGTCCCTTCTCTCCCGTACACTTTTATTATGTTCCAACCTCCTTCCCCCTCACCTCTACATAGGCATTATTTACCCCTTTATAAGCATTCCTAAGCCTATTCTCCCTCTGACCCAATTTCTGGCCTTTTCCTTCTAAATGGTCTTTACGTGAATTGTACCCGTCATTATAGTCTGTTATGGGCATTATACCCCTTCTCCTTAACTCATTTTTAACTATTAACTCGCCCCCATACCCCCATTAAACCTTTTCTCATTCCCCCTACTGTTTTACAAGGTATTTCCTCTATCTCTGGCCCTCTAAAGGTATTCTCCGCCCTCTGATGATTGTGGGTGTGCTTTTAACACGATCTTCCCTTTCTGGTCTTGTATAGGAATACTCTCTCTTTTGGTCTTGTATAGGAATACTCTCTCTTTTGGTATTGTATAGGAATACTCTATCTTTTGGTCTTATATAGGAATACTCTCGTTTTTGGTCTTATATAGGAATACTCTCTCTTTTGGTCTTATATAGGAATACTCTCTCTTTTGGTCTTGTATAGGAATACTCTCTCTTTTGGTCTTGTATAGGAATACTCTATCTTTTGGTCTTATATAGGAATATTCTCTCTTTTGGTCTTATATAGGAATACTCTCTCTTTTGGTCTTGTATAGGAATACTCTATCTTTTGGTCTTATATAGGAATATTCTCTCTTTTGGTCTTATATAGGAATATTCTCTCTTTTGGTCTTATATAGAAATACTCTCTCTTTTGGTCTTATATAGGAATACTCTCTCTTTTGGTCTTATATAGGAATACTCTCTCTTTTGGTCTTATATAGGAATATTCTCTCTTTTAGTCTTATATAGGAATATTCTCTCTTTTGGTCTTATATAGGAATACTCTCTCTTTTGGTCTTATAGGCAAAGCTCAGAGCCCTTACCTTTCAGTAATGAGCGATGTGTGTGTATATTTGCTATTTACTGTGTCTGCCTACAGGTTCGAGCTGGTAGCTCTTGGACTCCGCCTTTCTAACCGTCAATTTCCTAATGTACTTACTCTCAACCTATTTTCCTCTGTCATATCTACAACATATATATTTTTGTACACACCTATTCTGTACGGACATATTTGTGTATGCAGAATCGAGCTCTAGTTCTTGGACTCCGCTTTTCTAGCTGTTGTGTGTGTAACGCAATGACTCCTGACCCATTTCCCTGTCCTACCTGGTTTTAAAGTTATGAATGGAGTTTGCCTCTACAACCTGTTCCTTCAGGTCATTCCATTTGCTTACTACCTTACGCTACCTGGAGCATACCTGGAGTGTGTTTCGGGAGTTCTGCTACTCCCCGAGCCCGGCTTTAGGCCAAGCTCGACTTGTGATGATTTGGTCCAGCAGGCTATCTTGCTTTACCTTACCTTGAGGTTACCTTGAGGTGCTTCCGGGGCTTAACGTCCCCGCGGCCCGGTCGTCGACCAGGCCTCCTCGTTGCTGGACTGGTCAACCAGGCTGTTGGACGCGGCTGCTCTCAGCTTGATGTAAGAATCACAGCCTGGTTAATCAGGTATCCTTTGGATGTGCTTATCCAGTTCTCTTTTGAACACTGTGAGGGGTTACCAGGCTGTTGCT